CTTAGTTTCCTGCTTTTACCTGAGTTATTACTTTGAAGTTGCTGGCCCCACAGCATTTTTCTCTCAATTGTTAGAACTACATGGGAAACTGCCCAGAACTGAATATATATATATTATTTCCCGAAATTCCCGAAGATTCCTCGGAGGAGAGCCGCGCCGGGGATTACACAGCTCGTACTCCTGCGGGTGTTGGTTGTGTTATCGGACTTCGTTTTCACTGGTTCCCGACACATTTTACAGATGACTGTGGTTTGTTTTTTGTCCGACTTGCCATAACCGAAATACTGCCAAACTGGCGAACTACAAAAACCCTTCTTTGGAACAATTTCCTCCGCCTCTCCTTGCTGCGACATCTTCATGTGCTCTGTGTTGTGGTTTGAGAGGGCAGCGCTTTGTGACGGCGTGCCTGGGTCCGCGATTGTGATTGGTTGGGAGGAAGTAGTGACTAGCATAAACCTACATGCTAGGCTACAATGAGAAGGAAGGAAAACTGCGTTTATTTATCGAACTTTTATCGACGCTCTTTTTTTCTATTGTGCCACACGTCTATCGATTGATATATATCGTTATTGAATTATCGCCCAGCCCTAATCACACATGGCAAATTTTTAGTCAGTAAAATTAAAACACATTTAAGTCAACATGATCAACTAGTAGTGGATCCATTAAAATCCAATCATTGCTTTATTCTGGTGTTTTTTAACAGTCTTATAAGATTTGACCTAGTGAACAGTCTGACCTGAACATTTCCACTTTCCTGATAGCCTTTCTTGAAAATGAAGTCGATTTTCACTTTATGTCTTCCTTTTTCCTCTTTGACATCTTCTCATGTATCCTCAGTTGCACCTGTCTTTGACAATCATGTCTTCTACTTGCACATGACCAGCATTCGCACTAAACCATTAATAATGCCAAAATCTACTTTGCTAAAATTGTTTGCAGCCAATCTTTCCTTCCAAAGGCAGATCCACCTCTGACTCTTCATAGCTACACGTGATGTCTAGAATCATTTGAAATCTTGTTTCTATTACTCTATCAAGGCAGAGGCTGCATAACATGTTAGAGCACCTGTTTGTTTGATGCCTTTATCAACATTCAACTCTGTGACTCAGGATTTACCATCCCAGCACGTTCTCTATGTCCTCATGCACAGCTGGATGCATTTTGTCCTTCATACTAGGAAAGGGGAGCAATGACCAGAAGTGTAAAAAATGTTAAGAAAAAAACTTTTGTGGTTCCAAAGCAGGTAAAATTTTCACTCATGATGTTTAAGTTTAAAATATCTATTTAATGAGACACAAGAGAAAGAATGTTCTGGTGAAGATCTCAGTCATCAAGTTCATAGTCATACCAAAAAAGTTTAAAAACAATACACTGGACTTTTTTTTTTCCAAATTTGAAGATGTTTCACTTCCCATCCAGGAAGCTTTTTCAATTCAAAATGTCAAATTAGCGTTAATTTCCAAGCTTTATAGAGTAGCCCAACAAAACCTAGTTATGGTTTAGAAAATATGCAAACTGAACCGAAATAACAAGTCCACCCCTTATAATGGGGAGTCGTTAGGGCAGGCTTGGACTGTAATCTGCGATACCGGGCATTTACCCAGTGGGCCGGTCTTAATTCTAGCGTGAGAGGGCTAGCCCTCCTTAAATCATACCGGCCCCAACACTTACTCTCCAGGAGCTCAAGAAGTAATACAATGTTAACTACCTAAATTATGCATACAGTATATGTAGCCCTTCTTTGTCATGCACATCCCGGTGACGGTTGGCATATGGTGAAATTTTCTATTTCTTCAAACTGTAGAATCCTTTCAACAAACTAAATTATAATGCAACTAAAATGCTTTCTTTAAACCAAACTATGATGTTCCTCTTATATTTGGCGAATTTATGTTTGAATATTTTCCAAAAATATGTTGCGGTGCATGATGGATTTAGCATCTAAAGGCTAACGTTTCCCGTCTTACGTGCATTGTTGCCAGGTTGGGATGTTACCCGATCTGGCAGTTTAGGATGGCCGTCTATGGGTACAAAATGTTTTTTTTAGATTAACTACCTAAGAGATCAATAGACTTTGGTTCAATTTGGGTGAGATTTCATATATCCAGGCGGTTTATAAAAACTTTTTGTGCTGGAAAATGTAAGTCAGTAACACCTGGCAACCCTGCTGATGTGGTGAGTGTGGACGTTACGCAGCAGCAGTCACTGTCCCGTCGGTGTTAATAACCAAAGCCATTAAAACCGTATTATAGAAGTCTCGGTGATGGTTGCCGTGTGATGTCGGGTGATCGGTCAATCCACAATGTGTATTCGTACTGTGTTTGACATTTGAGACGCACATGTTTCACTGTGCTTCTATTCTTGTTTTGGAGGGGTTTCAGGGAGTCCATATGTGAAAAATGCCAGGGCCGAAAATCGTTCCCGGTCCGAGCCTGCGTTAGGGTCATTGTTGGTGTGGCTGACCAGTTGTTTTGGTCCCCTGCATGGGGTTGGAGGTTGAGATGATAGGGTGAAGAAATCAACACTATCACTACATTTTAGGTTTTTGAGAGCTGGAACCTGAGAACACCCCCTCTGTTTAAGGTTGTTTTTTCTCTCTTAACATAAATGGCTTCCTTCACACCCCTTTCAAACCACCTGTCTTCTTTTTTTGTAAACATTCTGTTCCTCAAACGAATGTCTTTTGTCTTTCAGGTGCAAGTGGACAGCAGAGTCCTGTCTGGAGGAGGTAGCCCATCTGTATTGAGCCATGCGTCTGTGGAGAGGTTGTTTGGTTTCTCCAATATAAAGATCAGAGCATTCCTCACTGCAGTGAACTGCATACATCAGTCCCCTCATCTTAGGTCTTGGGGTTGTATCTTTAGGATGCACAAGCCTCTGTCTAAGAATATGGTTTGGTTGGAAATGTACTGGAAATTTGTTGTTTTGAGAAAACATTCTTGGGTTTTTCAGAGACTGTAGCAACCAGAGAAAGAAGCAAAAGGGACTGGAGTTCTTTGTGGGGCAGATTTAAACACAGCAAGTTGTCTTTGCCTCATTAGGAAAAGGGACAAAGTTTCCTGTTTAAAAAGATTTCTGGTTGTGTAAACACAGACAGCCTCAGTGTGAAAACAAATGAGAGTCACCTGTCACTTTAATCAAGGTACAGCTATTTTAAAACCATGGTTGGAAGGAAACTAGTGGTCGACTGCGTGTTTTGTAGACTTTTTAGACTTAGACCATTTTTATTGTAATTTTTTTTATTGTAAAAAGCAGAATTTTGTTTTGTACAGCTTTCAGACAGTAAATGAGCAGCAGCTTATCAGTGAAATGAACATTTCAATTTCATAAAGTGCATCAGTGATCAAATGTAAACAGCGGAATAATAAAGCATGTTTTTATAATCAATATTTTATTCTATATTAGAAGATTTTCATCCTTTAAAATTAGACCATGTTAAAACCAGCCTGAAAAATACTTTTTGTTTCTTTTTTTAAGCATGCACAGCTGTTTTCTGGTTCGACAGGGATGACCAGAGTAGAAAAAGCAAACTAGTTGCCTTTATTCTCTGCAAACATCATGGCAAACAGCAAACGGCTGCAAATTAAAGCAGATTTATATTTTTGAGCAGCCGAGTCCAGAGTTGAACTGAATATGTCTGACAAGAATTTTACAAATGTATGTTTATAAAGAACACATGTCAAGAAAAATAATGTATGTGTTGAACACTGGCGGAGAAAGCACAGACTTGCAGCTGTAATTAAAGTGAGAGGTGGTTCTGCACTGTGTTCACTTAAAGGGGCTGAAAAAAAATATTGAAAATGTTATAATAGTATGATTACTTTTGAAAGGTACAGTAGGTCATGCTTTCATGTTTTTCAACAAAAAGTTACATCTTAAGGCAGCTAAGAAGGCTCAGTTCAGACTGGAGACAGCTGTCTCCTTTAAAGAAAATATCATGTCTAACAAATATTGTCAGAACATCCTAAAGCTAAGTTTATGAGGAATTGCATCCTGATGGGCTCTCAAGCACATTATAAAGATGTTCCCCTCAATAACTTTGCAAACAGTTAATCATTAATAAGAAGAGAGATTGTCTTTGATCCAAATCTTATCATTTTTTTCCATTTTGATTTGGAGAGCACATTTTTTTTTTCAGAGTAGAGTAATGAGTGCATATTAACTACCCCCATTGTTCATTTTAGATTTTTGGCATGAAGATTTCTTGAAACTAAAACTTTTGGGAAGAGGCGATGTATTAGCACTAATGTTTTCCTGCAAAGCGCAAAGTGCACAGACCCCCCAGTCATAATGAGAATGCAGGTTTAGATCAGATGTTGACTCTGGCCTGCAGAGAGGTTTCCATCCATGATCAGAGCTCAGTCACAAGAATCCATGTTTCTTCACAACAAACTTAGAAAGTTATTATAGCGATTTGGGAAAAGAACAGAGTTTAATTATAAGCCTGCAAACGGTGCAGTAAGGGCTTTTAACTCTTTACTGACCTGCAATGAAGCTTATTTAACCTCCTTAATTAGATCTAAAGCAGATATTGGCCACCAGCAAACCAATGTAATATGCAGTCCATGCCCCCCCCCCCCCCCCCCCCCCCCCCCCTGGGTGTGTGTGTTTTATTGTAGCTGAATCAGGATGAGGGAGAGTGAGGGGTTACTGCAGCCCAGCAGCTGTACAAACACAGCCAGCCTGATATTGCACTAACCCCACTCTGTGTGCCATCACTGCTGGCTCCGGGCCTGCGCACAGTGGAGGTGTTATTATTTGTATCAGTGTCTCACAAAAGCTCTCATTGAGGGATTTTCTATTAACACAAGAAAAGACTCACAAACAGAAACATCTGCTGGGCTTAAGCAGAAAATGTGCAGGTGAGGAGATGTTTGTCCGCTTTGACACCGGGAGGTGAGGCAGGTGAGAGGTGAGGAAGCGTGTCTTTAGTTTCTAACATACAATCAGGAGTGCTGGCTCTGGAATAAAAGCTTTTTTCCCCCCAGTTTTCTTACCTTGCTCTGTGAGGACGCGTCCTTACACAACACCAGCAGACAGACCAACAAGTTCGCGTATTTCCACATTTTCTCAGGGCGTGTAGACATGAAGTGCAGAAAGTTAAAGTCACAGCGGTCAGTCCACAGGCTGGAGCGACGCGTCTATCTGAACTCCATCTCCGCTTCATGCAGGTGACGCTGTTTCAGGCGCGCGGCGCAGATCTCTGCAGGGCTCTGATGCGCGCTCTGAAGTGCGTCTGCCTTCATCCGGGCGCTTCCTCCATCAGCCGCTGTTCTCCACAGAGGGGAGGGCTTTGACGCACCGCACCCCCCTCACACAAGGTTCAAATTCTAAATCGACTTTGCGCTCTTAGATCGACTTACATTCATTTTAGTTATTACTGTAGTTATTTAGTTACTGACCTTTTCCCAAACTCTAACCATTACCAGTATATCCCTAACCGTGCAATGGGGGTCCGCCACATTAAGACCAAATTTTCACCCCCATAAGGCATGTATGGCCTCAGATGTTTAGTAAATATACCAAACGATCCTAAATATTTAACGTAAACAAGTACACACACCCAGGGCAGCTGCACACTGCTGCATTTAGGCAGTGCGCAGCAGATAAAGTAAGAAACTCATGACAAACTTCATTTTTGGTCTATAGACAGCAGCGTGAAGTGGCCCGTAGGAACAGTAATAATTATTTTATGATTTGAAAAGCTCAGGAAATATTTAAACGCCTGGAGTTTCCATTTTAAAGACATTTGGCGCCACCATCTGGCCAATTTCCAGATTACAAGAACAGATCAGCCCGCTTCCGATTTTTTGCAGTTAAAAGTTTGAAGTGAAGGCTTCGTGTTTTGTTACTTTTGATAAACATGGTTGCTTAAAAATCTAAATTTTGGTTTCACAGACAATTTATATAGAGGTCTGTAGATTTGAATATTACAGAAATATCTTAAACAGAGAGATATTTTCTTACTGCTATATTACAAACATGAGCACCAACTTTGCCAGACCTCCCCTTCCTTCCTTCCTTCCTTCCTTCCTTCCTTCCTTCCTTCCACCATTTTATATCATTTTATTATATCCTTATCGATAATATAGATGGATCCAGCAACACCGATGCATGGGCAAATGTATCAAGCTGTAAACCCCGTGCTGGTGTATCGTTTCAAGAATGTCCCATGACCAATACAGGAGCTGTTTCGAACTGACAGACGCACTAAACTGTGTTTACCAGCACATCTGTCAACACAAACCATCTGACAAATTAATCAAAAATATGGAGCAGCCCCAAGGAAAAAGAAATGTTTCAGCCGATTGGGACCATTTTGATCTGATATTTGTTTAAATCTTCTTGTTGTGTCATCCTGTTCCTCTCAGTTATCACTCAACTTGTCTAAATTTCAAATTGACTCTTAGTTTACTGTTCTTAATAAAACAAAAAATCATAGTCCACAAACATCCTTATTCACTTAAATGTTCCTGTTATATGTTCACATTTATGGCTTGCATCTACAAATATCACAATTATTTTCAATTCAAATTGAGATATTAAATAATACATCAGAGATTATTATCTAGAAAACAGGTCCCAGTGTTTAAAATGTGAGGGACGTTGTTCTGAATTTGTTACTGTTCACAAAGGTGTGCCACAAGGTTCTGTTTTGGGCCCCCTCTTATTTATCTTGAACATCAACAATGTTGAACAAAATTTCTCTGATGCTAATATGCATTTTTATGCTGATGATTCCATTATTTATTGCTTTGGGTCATCTCTTGACCAGGCTATTTATTCCTTACAGAACGTTTTTGTTGTACAGTATTCATTTATTAGTCTTAAATTATTTCTTAATGCTGACAAAACAAAGTTAATGTTGTTTTCAAATAATAGGACGGTGCCTCAAACCTTTCCAGTGGTGTCCACTCTGGAGGGGAATGTCATTTAGGTGGTACATGAATATAAATACCTTGGAATTGTAACCTTCAAACCTTTTATTGATAAACTTGTTAAGAAATTAATAGTTAAACTGGGCTTCTTCTTTCGTAATAAGATATGTTTTTCTTTTGGAGTAAAAAAGCGCATTGTCTTGCCACGTTTTTATCGAGTGTTTACCATGCTTCATTAAGGTTCATCACAAACTGTAGAGCCATGACATCACTGTGACCTGTACTCTCAGATGGGATGGCCTTCCCTCTCTACAAGAAGGCAGTGACATTGGTACAATTTTTATTTACAAGGCCCTTCTTGGATTACTGCCTCCTTACATTTGTACCTTACTTACACAGAAAAGCATGGCTTCTTATGCCCTGAGATCCAACCATCAGCTGTTGCTCACTGTTCCGTTTGCTCACACAGAACTAGGGAAGAAAGCCTTTAGCGACGCACCTCCCTGTGCATGGAATTGTTTACAAAGAAACTAGAAGTTCACTGAATTTTTTATCTTTAAATGCTTTTAAGTTGAAAGTGAAAGAATTTGAAGCAGCTTCAATAATCTGTAATTGTGTTACTTGATATGCTTTGTGTACCTGTCATTTAATTTAATGTATCTCTGTTTTTTATGTAACTTTGCTGCCTCTTGGTCAGGACTCCCTTTTTTAATCTCAATGGGATTTTTTTCCCATGGTTAAATAAAAGTTAAATAAATAATAAAAAAAAAAAAGAAAGAAAACAATGACTTAAATCACATTATATGTCATCAAATGTGTCAGTTTAGTCTGTCAAAGAGGCTGCCTGTAGGAATGTCAAATGTCCAGCAGGTGTCAGTATTCAGTAACACAGTATCAATACAGTTTACCCATGTGTGGAAATGCTTCATGACGCCTCATGAACCCATCACTAAATGCGGACATTCGGATGCCCACTCAAGTGTGGTTCTTATGGCTATTCAGCAGATGCTGCTGTTCAGAACTTTATAAAGTTTTGGCCAATTATGTCAAATTGGTTTATTGGGTTTTAAAATTGCCATCACTAGTCAAGAGGCAGAACCAAAGTATCTGACAGGGGCAAGGAAGGCAGGAGAACAATAGGTATGAGACTGGTTGATATCAGGAGATCAACACTAGGAATGCTGCATGGTCTCACACAAATGGCTTTCAAAACTCTGGAGTTTACCCATTTGGTAAAAGCCAGGAATATATAGGGCTACTCCCAGGTCTGCAGTATTGATAAGTGACGATTAAGAACATCAGATCCAGCGGTCAAGAAGAGCTAAAAGCCTTTATAAAAACAACCTTTTGTTGCTGATCACCACAGCAATCAAAGGAATGATTTATGCAGAAGGGGCACCAAACAAGCACCTTGTGCACATACAATAAAGCAAACACTTGTTTCAGGCCACATTTCTGTAGTAACACATATTATTTATTAATGCAATCACACATATTTTGGTATAGAGCTGTCCATTTTTCATGCACTGTTAAGGAAAGCTCTGTGTGTTTGCACCTTGAAGCTTTCTCTTCCTGGTTCTTTTCCTGAGAAGAGATCATTTGGGACAAACTCTTTAAACAACACTTCATAATTTATAAGTATTGAATAGCAGTGAGACATGACAACAGATTTAGACAGAAATTATAATCTTACTCAGACTGGATAATTTGCTCAGTTTCAGAAGGGTTCAACATTTCTCACAGTTAAAGAAGCATTTTATACAACCATACATCTGCCACATCATCACATCCTAACATCCTACACGTTTGTAAATTAGGAGACATCCATAGCTACAGTCTCATCAAAAATAACCCTATTTTTAGATCAACAATGCCTTATTAAAATACCAAATCTTTGCCACGTGCATAATGAAGATGACTTTCATTCCTGACAGAGGAACTGTCCAAATTAGATAGACTACTTGGGAAAACATTAGTTCTAACAAGCAACAGACAGGTATTATTTGGGTTTAACGATCTCAAACTTAATCTGTAAATATAATCCTAAAAGTGTCTATAGGAACAAAAAGGTAAATTTAATCTGATTTCACACAAACCCCAAGAATCAACAATCTTCTTGTTCCACTGTAATTTTGGACACAGTGTTCTAGCCCTATCATATTTGAGGGATATATTTTCCAAATAGTGGTTTAAATATCTCTATGCATATGTTTAATAGGATTTAGTCAGAACTAAATCACCAAAAATCTTTCTTAGTCTCATCTGGCCAGAAGGAATTTCCCCAGAAGGATGGAGGTAGTGTTGTAGTCAAGACCACAAAACAAGAGATGAAGGATTACAAAGACTGAGATAAGACCAAAAGCTTTAGAGGCTTCTAAATATCTTGGTCTTGTCTCGGTTCTCCTTGGTCTCGGTTGGTTTGGTCTTGACTACAACACCAGATGGAGTTTTATTGATATTAATCTTGGCAAATTTTTATGTCTATGTTTTAGCAGTGGGGTCCTCTTGGTCCTGCCATAGTGTATCCTCTCATTTAGACATCAACAGATAGTTTTCCATGACACTAATGTACTCTGAGCCTGTTGGACAGCTGGAATATTTTTAGAAGCTGTTCAGGCTGTATATACAAAATTCTTCTTCCATCCACTTCCGGGGCCGTCAGCTGTAGTGCTATGGATTGTAAATTTCTTAAACACACTGCAGACAAAGAAAGATTGAAATCTCGAGATGGAGACTTGTAACCTTGATCCTGTTACCACAATTTGGGTTCTCAAGTTGTCTGACAGCTTCCTTGTCCCCTTTCAGTCATCCATGCTTAGTATGGTAGGCAAAGAAAAACCAGGAAATGAATCAACTTTTCCTCTTTTTATCTGTTGTCAGGTGTGATTTTTGACATTGCCCACACCTGTTGCCAAAGTTGACTTTAAACAATCCTGTTGTGCTTAAAATAAAAGTTAGCTACCCAAAATTTTGAAAGAAGATACTCATGCTGTATGGCCCATTTTCTTAGTTTTGAATGAAATTATTTAAAATTTGCCATTTCCTCTGTTTCTTTGTGCTGTACCAATACTAAAAATGAGAATTAACAGATTTATTACAATATATGTGTAATTGTACTAACTTTCTGGGAGACAGAGCATGGTCACATGCACTTTGTTCTTGACTTTGCAGCAAACCCTCATACCAAATATGTGTGTAGCAACAATGGAGAGGAAAACTCAGTAAGAACAAACCCCTAGAAACATACACACAAAAGGAACTCAGGAGTGCTGGCCAGTACTGATGGGTTAATGAGGCATTTTGAAGCTTTTCGACACTTGTATTAATACTGTCACAGAGAATACTGACACCTGCTGGACATTTAAAGACACTACAAGCAGATTATTTGAC